CCACAGCCGCCCCTGTGTGTGTGTGTGTGTGTGTGTGTGTTTGTGCGTAATAGAGAGAGTGAGAGAGAGAGAGTGGTGTGTGTAATTCTATTAATTTCCTTTTATTCAATCATATTTGTGAAGCTGTGACTGACTCTCTGAAACATTTGTCATATTACTGGAAAAAAAATTGTGCAATAATTCTAACTTTTAATTTTGTTTTCCTTATTCATTCGTAAAAAATGTGTGCGTTATTGTTTTTTTCAAATTGTCTCCTTGACATTCTGTGTGTTTGATCTTTGCATTCCTGCGTGATGTCTGTTGTCATTTCCTTGACTACACTGCTTGTTACACTACAGATCTTGTGGTGGTGTGAATAATGACTGTTGTCACTCAGGGGCAAAGGCAGAAATAATATGATGTTGTCATAACACTTTTAAACCTCTTAGAAGGGAGGTTGGGGTGGATGGTTGGGTCATCAAACCGTGTGACTTTGACACTGGAACCATTGTTTGCATCCTGTCTCCTTCCTCCGTTCAGCACTGGTTCATTTTAATAATTACTGCATTCATTATTTTACGCTAAAGTGGCTGTAATCAATATTTTTACATAAATAATGGCTTAAATGACTACTTGGATGTTAAATGGGTCACTTAAATAAACAAAAAGAGACTGAATGATTACCTGACTGTGCACTTTCTCCATAGCTGTGCAGAGTTTGAGCAGTTTGCTTATTGTTTTCATTTTCCAGCCCACAACTTAACTGTTTTTGGTGCTTCGCAATGCAGTGGGCAGTTGTTTTCAATGATACAGCTCTAAAAACCAATCTTACACTAACTGCTCGGCACCAAGCGGCTGACAGAGACAGTTAGTGACTCGCTGTTGAACATACTGAAGCATTTAACAGCTAAAGAGCCAGATATTTCCCTGAGGAGGTGGTGATAGAGGGCAAAAGCAGAGAAAAAGGAAAATGAATGACACGCCTCCAAATGAATGATAATGTTGGTCCTTAACTACTGGATGTGTAAATAAGCAACTGTTTGCACATGTTCACCATATCAGCTTAAAAGGTGATGATTAGTCTTGTGTTTACAACTTGTTCTAAGTGTCCAAAAATGTTAATTTAATGCAGGTTCAACCAAGCGGTTTTTATGCTGATATGACTAATTTCTAACCATAACAACAAGCACCAGATCAGGAAATGCTGATGTGTCCATTTGTTAGGCAGTGACAAGCAACCCACTCACTAAATTGTAACCATAAAAACTGCTTAATGACACAATGTTTCAATTGCATCGTCAGCCTCATACAATCCCAAAATGTAACAGTGAGCCGTCAGATGATATCAGCGAGACGGACTAATCCATGAGATGAAATTAATGATTAACAGATTTTAGCAGGTCTGTAGATGGTGCTGAAAGGTGCTTCCCTGGTGCTGATAACAGGCTTTCCCATTAACGGGAAGTGCTGCAGCCTCATCCTCAGGCAAACCAAGGTGAGGGTGATCTCCCGCCCTCCCTCCCTCCCTTCTTCTCCCCTCCTCTCCCCTCCTCTCCCCTCCTTCTCACTCTCTTTCCTTGTCTCTCTTGCATCTTTATATACTTATTGTATTTTACAAACCCAGAGGGACCTGGACGAATCCCTCCACACAGCACAATCACCACGAGCATTGCCAAGAGCATTTCCGACTCTCTCCTCCCACATAAAAGGCTTCCTTCTAACTTGAAATTGCAAGTAAATGCGCACAGCTCACGAGGCATCTATCTGTTCGTGCAGCACAATTACTCAAACCTCTGAGGACCTTCTTACAAAATACCATGGTCAATCTCTGGCTAATTACTTGTCAATCAGTTGCCACTATGAGCAGGGGGTGGGAGGAGGGGAGGCATTGCTTTGGGCTGGGGAGGCGGTGGTCGAATTTATCGACTTGATAAAGACAGCAGGGACAGGAAAGACTTTGCAAGTCTTTATTCAACATCTTTTCACAGGCGAGCGCTCCATTTTTCTGTGGCTCTCCACACTTCAGGGGTGGGAGAGGGTGTCATTTCAGCTGGCATACGGCATTTGTGCAAATCTTTACAGGAGAAACACAATCGAGAAGAGTAATAGCCTGCTGCACGTCGGAATTTAAATCACAATTTCCCCAAGACTAATCCTTTTCCTAACTTAAACGATGAATTTTACATGAAGTTCATCTCTCTCTGTGTCTCTCTCAGGCTGTGTGTCATTAATATTCTCGTCCCGACATGCTGCTCCTTCCTTCCTCTGTGTAATAAGTCTGTCTCAGATCTGCCTCCTATGTCTGATTTTGCTGTCAGTTGCATGAGAGTTGAAGTTCAGTCATAGCCCCAATCTGAGCCTGTAAATATCCCCTACGGCTGATAGCTAGACCTGAGCACCGTGCCACTGCTTCCCTTACTAAATAAAGTGAGAGTCAGAGGCAAGGGCTTGGGAATACGGTTGCGTGTGCGGCCTCCCAAAAACAAAGTGAGATGCATTTGTATGCAGGTCAACAGTAAAGAGTACATTTTCAATGGGATACGAATGAGCTGGTCCGTGATGTACAACAGTGCAATGCTTGTGTGTATGTGTGTTTGCGTTTGAGCATTCAGCCCTGCCTGTGTGTGGCTGTGTATTATGAAGTCAACCCCCCAGGACTGTACATGTTCTCACTGTGATTGATGAAACGCCTCAAAAGCAGAGAAAAGGATAGCGGCAATTCCAACACAGGGGTGATTAACTAGCCTTCTATCTCTGCTAACAGATGATCCTAGAAGAACCTTCAGCATCTCTCTGAAGTGGGATTAGGAGTTTTCAAATGCTGGCAGCAAATATCACGGATATTTTGTCCACATCAAACAATCCCATTGGTTAAGTTGCATCTGTGGCTGACAGGGCCTAGATAATGCTTCATCATAATATCTGGAGTCTAAGAGTCCAGATTCAATTTATATAATAGCTCTATAGGTCCAAACTACTTTACCCTTCTCATTGTCCTTGACAAACCAAACACAGACAGAGGCCAACAGGACTAATGAGGATGAGGCATTTCAGTCACTGTACCAGCTTCAGTGGACTAAAGCAAGTGTTTCAGTGAACAGGGTTGAGTCGAGTTGTGCCCAAGGGACACTGGATTAAAAGATTTATGGGACAAAGTACTTCATACCAAAGCTCATTCGAGCAAACTACAATAGGCCACATGTATAAACACAAACAAACAGCTTCAGTCAGAAACACACTCTCATGCTGTTGGTCCTCGATTGGTGAAAGGATTACTGTAGCTGTTTCTTTGTCACCAAAGCAACGCATGTCAGAAATATATGCTCTCAGTGCAGTGTAGAAGTCTTTGTTTTCTGCAGCTCGTCAAATAGCACATGTGAGATTACGTCATAGGATTGCCTCAAATCAGGACCCAAATGTAATCACATACAGCATACTTTAGGAGCCCTCAGCCTGCAGTCAGTCTGCATGAAAGTAAAACTCCCCTGTGTCAATTGAAGCCAATGTAAAGGAAAATCAGGTTGTTACTACTTGGGTTTTATTTAGCTCTGGCCATTGGTTATGATAAAGACAGAACAACAACTAATTTATGCTTTTCAATTTACTGACAAAACTGCACCTTGTGTACTGTACTTGACCCTCAAGTTGAGAACCACTGCTTTAAAGGACGAGTGTGTAGGAATCAGTCACATCCAGCCATGAAGTTGCAGACCGCAATTGACTGAACACTGCTTGTGTCTGTATTTGTCGACTTGGGAATGAGAACAGGCTGTAAAGTGTGTAGGAGAAAGTACGTGAAAGGCTTTGTCTAGAGCCAGTGTTTGGTTGGTCTGGTCTGAGCTACTGTAGAAACATGGTGGTTCAACATTGAAAGCATTTAAAAATCTAACCCTAATCTAACCAAAAACCAAAGGCCATATGAATGTAAAATTACATACTTGTGTTTTACAAACATTCAATACAGTGGTTTACATTCATAAATACATATCTAAACCAAACAAGAGCAGGTGCTGAGCCAAAAATGATTACATAAATAAACAGCTCGCGCACTGCAGGGCTCTGATTTAATTCACCAAGGTAACATTTCGAGCATCACCGCTGTTTATCAAACTGACAATGCACGACGCCATCTTATATACACATGATTCAGTCACATAATGAGTCAACATGAACTGAGTCTCTAATGTGGTAATATAACATGGTCAAAAGTACATGCACACATACACATTATATCCTAATAGAGCACACAGCTCCTTGATGTAGTTTGATGAAGTGTAGTGTTGCTCAAAACATCACCTTTACTTACAATCTCCCCACGCACAAAACAGGTCTTTGTGAGTTCTGGTGGCATCAATTTTCACAGTTGATTGTAAACTTGGATTAGGAGGAATATCAATATAGTGGTGTCCTAATTCAGGCCTGGACGTATATATATTGAATTTCTGAACTTCATTTTGAGTCCTGTGATTGATTTTATTTCCTAAGCACCATAATTGGAAACCAATGCATCCAGTCAAGCTCTGACAGAATGGCTAAATGGAAAAACTTATCCCTGGGAGAATTGGGGCATTGTAGTTGCACTGTTCCTCTAGTGAAACATTAATTGCCTAGTACCTCACACTTTACTCTGCAACCCACCCCACCTCCTGCCCTCTCTCTCTCTCTCTGTCTCTGTTGGCACACTCACCTCCCAGCTCCTCTGTGGAAATGCTGGTGAGCTGGAAGGCTTCGCTGCCCTCCGTCAGGGAGCTGCTCAGGTAGTTGTCTGGATAGAGCAGGCCCGCCCGCACATGGTGGAATGGCATCTTCTCCCTGCAGAGCAAAAACATACACACAGAGTCTGAATAAACCTAGCATGTGTTTGAGTGAGAAAACGAAAGGTAAGAACCATTTGTGTCAGTATGTGCATGTGTATTCAAGCCCCGACTACCAGCGCAGTCAGGAGCCCTTTTTAGAAACACAATCTCCTGTGGAGGGAACATTGTTCCTTCTACTCTGCTAATGCTCCTTTCTGGGAGAAACCGCTGTCTCCTTGTGACACAATCACAGTGACAAATTATGTAATCACATTATAATTCAATGGAGTCACAAAAAAAAACATTCCACTGTTATTGTTCTGATAAATACCAGAGTATAATCGGGATCTCTGTATTATCTAGTGATCATTCTCTCGCTGTCTTTCTCCTGCTTGCTCTTTGTTCAGTCTCCTTAGTCCACAGAGGAAAAGCACTAAAGTCTTGTCGCTCGCTAACATTTCTGCTAACTTCCCTAACCCCTCCTTAAATCCCCTGACTTCCTGTCCCACCATACAATCACCACTGCCACCCAACACCTCAGAGAGACCTCAAGGCATGACAGGGCATCAATCAACCACGGCCCATTGCTGTCGTGTGATCAGAGCGATTCTCTGATTTGATTCATGAGAGTTGCCCCCTCTGAGGGCTTTCCCATTGTAATATTTTGACACTTTGGCAATATGCTTCATGTAATACTGCTGCCAATAGTACACGCTGAACTGAACTGAGTCGATGTGAGTGCGAGAAAGAAGGATAGGGAGGGAGTCAGGGAGGAAAAGATAGTGATCCCGAGAGTATTCTGTGAGCGGGCTGCTGCCAGACAGAAGAGATAGAGATAGAAGTGGGGATGTCTTTTTCAGGGGAGACATGGTCAAAGTATAAACATCCGCTCTCCTCTCCTCTCCTCTCCTCTCCTCTCCTCTCCACACTGTTATTTGAGACTTAAACTCTTTGTGGATCTTGGAATCAGAGCCAAGGGAGGGAAAGGACACAGACTGAGTGTAAAGACAAAGACAGTGTAAAAGGTTAAGAGCCGTGGGATAGGTGCAAGTCTGCTCTGGTGATCTGTAGAGGACACCGGGTGTGAAAATGGCTGTGTGTACGCGTGCATGAGAGCTAGACAGCAAACAGTGTGTGTGTGTGTGTGTGTGTGTTTACAGAAAGGTGTGTATGTGCACATAGTTTGTGAGCTCTGAGGCAATGTAGTCTTCAGTCCATCTGCTCCTGGTTCTACTCTTGTCCCACCGGCACATTAAAAGTACTTGACATGTAACTGTTCTGCAGACATAGGTTTCGGCCAACAAGATAAAAACACACGCTAAGGTTTCATTGTTGGATCATTATCCACTTACTACCTGCCATTCTCAGAGAGCAGCATAAAGAATAAACTCTTATTATTTTTATATTTGTGTTATATCTGTGTTATATGTAACTTTTGAAGGAGGAAATAACACATTTTCCTCTTACAAATGAGAAATTGAATTTATAAACAGTAAAACACTGCTATAGACATCCTTGGTCTGGTATGACCAGTAGCTCGTTGGTAGCTAATGTTAGCTGTTGCTGTGAAAGTCAGTTTGCTAACTTTATGACTCTTCTAGACTCAAACACTGCATGTTATAATTTTTCCGTAATTATCAGTTCTGGTCACACTGGCCACTGTTTAATAAAAGGTTACATAGTGTTGCTTTAAGTTGCCAAGTGAAGCATGAAAATATCAATGATATATTGCCACATTAACTCTGCAAGTTAATTAATTTTAAGATTTAGTTAAACGAATAAATAAGATAATCACTAAGGAGATTGGCCGTCCCTCCACTACATTTTTACCTCGTGTGGCATCAGGTTTGTTTTATTATATGAAACGGCACAAGAAGCCTTTTAATTCAGTTTCTCAAAATGGCAGATAAAACAACTGAAATGTTGAGTGAAAAAAATCACATCACACACGTTCATTCTGAAATGATGGACACAAACCTTTGACAGAAGAAACAAGGAAGCTTTTTTCAGGAAGCAACACGTTTATATGAAGTGTATGACTACTAATATGTATTACCAAGTGAGAGGGGTAGAGACAACCTTGGCTGCTTTTTCAAAGATAATTACACCTCTGCATCACATTTTGAGTACCACCAGCACTGCATATACTTGAATAAACATGTGCTTTATGGTGCTACATTTGTGTGTTGGCATGTATATGCAAATACAGCAGATTGGTACATGCATATTGTTAATTTATGTGCACATGTATACAAAAGGTTTTTTTTGGAGTGTATTTTGCATCCATGTGCATGTTTAAATTCCTCTGGGTGCATTATAGCATGCATGTCTGTTAGAAACACGTATATGTTCTCCGTGGTGGGTACAGTTGAGCAGAGAAGAAGGATTTATATTTCCATCATGATACACAGTTTGTCACGTGTATCAGTGATTTGTGGTGCACTTACAAGTGAATATATCTAATCTATCTACTCAAGACAGGATGAAAAGTCACAATGAAGAATTATGAACATTTAATGGCTGTTCAATAAATGAAAAACCCTAAAGTCTTCAACTCCCCAAATTAAACAGGACCCAGCAATTATTTAATCAGTGGACAAATTAATAAGACATATGATATGAAATTAATATGAGAATGTATTTCAACAGTCCATCTGCTCTCACAATTGTTCCCCTGACAGAAACACCCACTCATACATGGCAAAAACCAGCAGACGCACATACACATACATCAAACTCAGTCACACGCTGATTCTTTCTCATTTTTTTCTACCTCTTTCTCACTCGCTCCTGATTTTTCTCCCATATATTTTTAGATTGTGGTTTTTCTACTCGTGAAAACACAGACTGTTGTCACAGAGACGGACATGAGAGCTGACAAGGACAAGCTTTAGCAGCAAACCTCCATCTGATAAGTCTCATTGCCTGGCAGAAGAGAGCAGGAAGAGGAAGGACAGACAGACAGGTGAGAGAGAGAGAGAGAGACAGGAAGAGGGGGGGAAGGGGGATGAAAGGAGCAAATGAAAGCAGGCTGACTGACAGTGTTTGAACTATGGGGTCACCTGCGCCCCAGGGAGCCCAGTTTCAAGTCTGCAGTGTGGTGATCAGAACGAATTTAAGCTCAGACGGGAGGGAAGAGCCTGAGATGAAGGGAAAGCAGCAACTGAGATTGAACCAAAAAGCTGGGAATGGGGAGAAAGGAGAATCATGTTTTTTTCTCACCTCCCTCTGTCCCCATGGAGAGAAATGCATTAGCAGAATGGCAGAAAAGAGCTGGGAGGTCACAACAGTATTTTTCCCAACAACACATGCACAAGGCTGCCATCACAAGCAGGCAGCCCTGACAAGACAACAGAATAAAGCCTTATCAAGCCCAGATCAAAAGAAAAACAGCTTGTTACATGCTGCAGCCACCAATTAACCATCAAAACATTCAAAACAGTGTGATTCAACTTCATCCAGGGACTCTCTGATGTGTGTGAGATTTGTGAGCTGGCCAGACAAACTTCCAAGATAAATCAACAAATTATTCTCTTTTTACTTCAAGCCACTAAAACCTCTCCATGTCTTCTTCCATTTTTTGAGATAAGGCACCTGCCTCCTGCCAAAACTATTAAGGGACCACTATTGATGAATTGAAGCTCCGGTGTTGGATAAACTGCAACTCTGCGATCTGTCAGATAGACTACAAAGCCAAACAAAATGGACAGCAGACCAATTGTAGCATCAGAGAAGGACAAGTTACCTCAACAGGCTACCAGCAATAAAATGGCTTCTTATTAGATTTACAGTTAAACCAATAATAAAAAATGATGAATGGAATTCAAATAACTTGCTGTCTTTGCTTTTCTGTCTCTGCTCAATGTCACATTGTCTGTGTCCTACTGAAGTCACCTTGGGCAAAGATAGGCAGCCTCCACACAGCTGTGATCTCTGCTGTCTCTCTCTTACCCATCAAGGCTGTACTCTAAAATCGTTTCCTCAACAGAGGCGCTGGATGGACTGCCCATCTTGTCGCCTAAAGCCGCCTCTCCCGGGGGTCAACTTGGGTCATCCAACACGCTCTATCTGACCCCACCACCAGCTGCTGCGCCAACTGAATAGCTCTGGCGCCTCACCACCAGCACGGCCAGAGGAGATGTGGACGTATGTGCCCTTGATCTTCTGTCAGATGGTCTGATGAAACAGCGCTTGTTGGCTGTTAAAAGAGCCCCACCGACGGGAGTTGGACACCAGTGGTCTGCCACACTGCGCGCATCTGCAGGGGAAGAGAGCAGCTGGACTCACACCGCCTGATGTTTCAAAGCCTGTGCTACATGTCACCCTCATTGCACAGAGAATGGGGTGCCTGAAAATTAAAAAAAACAAAAAAACATGCGCGCTACCCGCCAAAAATGCTCGCACCCACACCGCCCAACACCACGCACATACTATAACACCTTCCGTACCATCCACAGGCGGGTCTCCTCCAGGGTATCAGATGATGAATGTGTGTGAGGCAGGTGACAGATTTGGCCATCACGCTTTATGACTGTGGAGTTTTAGAGCATCTGGCAATGAGGATGAATACAACTGGGCTTTAGACTGCAGCCAGTCCTCATTTATCAGAACCAATATGTGAGCCGCTCCAGCTGAATGAACAGAAGCCACAAAGCATGATGTATACTGTCTGATGGAGTGCTTTACATCCCGCTGCGTGTTGAGACAATTATACTGTAATTACACTTATAGCGCGCGTGCAATGGACCTATAATCACCTAATCACACCGATCAAGCCCACGCAGCGCGCACCAACGCGCGCGACGCACACAAACAGCTGGGGAAAGATTTTGAGGAGCAGTTGAAATAGTCGGATACTGAATGCAAATAGACACAGACACAATTCTCTTGTCAGCCATTAAGGCGCCACAGCTCATCTAGACTGTCAACACATACACAGAAGTCTATTTACACGCGCGCACACGCTCGCGCAGAGGCGCGCTGCGCGCATTCACACAGATTACAACAGG